TTTTTTTTTTTTTTTTTTTTATTTTTTTTTTTTTTTTTTTTTTTTTTTTTTTTTTTTTCTTATGAATGAAAACCACAACCACGACCTCCTTTATATTTTGTATGTTGGACCTCTGACCGGTAGACGGGTTTTACAGAGGGCGATACTGATACCGCCCTCTTTTTTCAAGTTCATGTACCACTGGCAATGATTTTCAGGGTCGGCGTGAAACGACATGCATTATATTTTTAGGGGCGCCATCAATAGGTGAGCCGAGTACTGGTGGTTTAAACCACTAGTACCTTTCCCAGCTATAAAGTCCAACCCTCCGGCTACCGGTAGCAGAAACGTCGTCGTTTCTAAAAAATAATTAAAAAATAAATAAATAAATAAAAATTAAAATAATGAACGAGATTATGAAAAAATATATATGAAAAAAAAACAATCAAATGAAACGCTAGAGAAATTTATCCGCTTTGAGAGAGAGAGAGAGAGAGAGAGTTCCGGACAGCGCAGCAAGATAAACTCCGTCGAGTTCGTTAGGGCTCTCCGGACAGCGCGGCTAGACAAACTCTCTCTCTCTCTCTCTCAGAGAGAACCCCGGACAGTGCAGCGAGATAAACTCCATCGAGTTTGTTAGGGATCTCTGGACAGCGCTGCGAGACAATCTCTCTCTCTCTCTCTCTCTCTCTCTCTCTCTCTCTCTCTCTCTCTCTCTCTCTCTCTCTCTCTCTCTCTCTCTTTCTCTCTCTCTCTCTCTCTCTTTNNAAAGCGACAAGCAAAAGAATGATAATATATATGTATATATATATATATATTGTTGTCGTCAGGCAGCGTCACAGGCTGACTGACTGACATGGGCGCGCGGTGAACTCTCGACCATCTCAAGTTGATTTTTTTTTTTTTTTTGGCGGAAATGGGAATGGTCCTTCTTTTCCCGAAATGAGAATGACTACGCTATATTCTTCTCTCAAGTTCACCTTTCACTATCCACATACTACTCCTATAAGCCTATACAGGGGGCCCCTGCAAGGATAGCTGCCTCTCTCACAATTAAGAATATAATTTATTAAAAAAAAAAAAAAAAAAACCGGGAATGACAACGGATTGGCGCGAGCGAATATATAAAGCTTTGGCTATCATGGCAAAGCTTTGGGAGTACGGTACCTTTCTTCAACGGAATAGAACGTACTGTCATTTTCGCTGCATCTGGACTGACAGCTCGGCCAAATACCAGACATAATGACCGTAGAGTGAACCAGGCTCTTCCCCCGTTGTTCGCCAACTTCCGACAGCGAACAGCGACCAATATTAATAGTGCTATTCGTCGACGACCATGCTATTGGTCAGTGTGTGTACGACTGACTGGTGGGGGAGAGAGAGAAGACGTCTGTGATCGGTGGATAGAGAAAGCTAGAGAAGAAGCCATCCATCACAGGCCCTTAAGTTTTCGTTGCGCTCGTAGATGACCCCAGGGCCTGGCGCGGTTGGCCACCAACGTCTACACTGTAGCGTGTGAACAAGGCTACAGTGTGGAGACGGGGTGCGGGAATCACAAGCGACATGAACAAATCCAAATTCCCGGACAAAGGGGTATTTTTTACTCTAATTTTCTTCAGCCCTCAAAGACAAAATCTGGCTAGTATATGCAGGAACCGCCGACCAAGTGACGCAAAAAAAAATAAATGATAATGAATGCGTGGGTGCGGACAATAGCAGGGAAGTAGCCGGAGAAGATTGGCCGAAAGAGAGCGCACGCAATGTGTTGGAGGGAAGGATGGAAGAGGAGGAGGAAGAGGAGGAGGAAGAAGAGGAGGAGGAGGAGGAGGAGGAGGAGGAGGAGGAGGAGGAAGAGGAAGAGAAGGAGGAGAGGAGGAGGAGGGAGAGGAGGGAGAGGAGGAGGAGGAGGAGGAGGAGGAGGAGGACGGCGAAGCTGATCGTCATTATTTCTTGATAACGGTCCTAAATTCTCGGTGATTTGTAGATTATGACATTTGCCAAAGCGCGATATCTCCTGCAGCCATTCGTAGACATGTCAGCTTTGCACCTACAGATGCGCCTGCTTCCGCCTGTTTCCGCCTGTTTCCGCCTGTTTCCGCCTGTTTCCGCCTGTTTCCGCCTTTCCGCCTGCTTCCGCCTGCTTCCCCCTGTTTCCGCCTGCTTCCGCCCTCGTCCGCCAATACTCTCTAGCGTCCGCATGGTGATTCAGCTGAATGCATTGTCTAGCGCACTTCCGTTAATGTGCACATGGCCATGAGAGCAAGCGAAGCCGATGAGGCAGCCTGGCCTCGGATAGAAATGATCTTTTCCGGGCACTTCGTCTTTGGCTTTTGTGTAGAATTATGTCTTTTAAAGGGTCTAAGACTTAATATCTTTTTTTTTGCTTATGTAAGACCACATTCAATTTGCCTGTCGACGTACGAGGAGTTGAGATGAGCGGCTTGCCTTTTCTATTTCTCTTTCTCTTTCTTCCTCTTCTTCTTTTCTCCCTCCCACTCTCTTTACATGACTGAATGTCTTCCCCTTCCTCCCCCCCCCCCCCCCCCCCCCCCCCCCCCCTTTTCTGTTGTCTTCACTCCCCCCCCCTCCCCTCTTCACTATTGATCGTACGGTGTTGTTTGTCGTTTCCTTCATCAACCCCCTCTGTTAACCGATGCGTATTCGTTTTCCAAGCAGGGAAAACTGGTGGTTTAAGTAGGGGAAAACCAATTGATGCGTTCACATGGTTCCCCAATAATTTAAAAACAATTTTTTCAGTGAAACAAACATGTCAATGGAATGGTCCATGCAGGTCCCGGTTCCGGTTCTATTTGTGGAGGGCAACGGTCTATCTCTAGATGGTGGAGGCGCAAATTACCTTCTTCTACCTTTTTTTTTCCAGTGAATGAAAACCACAACCACGGCCTCTTTTGTGTGATGTCTGCTTGACCTCTGACCAACATATGGGTTTCACAAATGGTGGTACCGGTACTGCCGTTTTTTTTTCCAAATTCATGTAACAGTGATTTTTCAGGGTGGCCGTGAAACGGCGCGCAAGACATTTTCAGGATCGACATCAATAGCTGAGCCAAGTGTGGTTTAAGTAGACCTGCGTTGCCACTTGTACGTAGCCTCGTACGAGTACGGATTCGTACTCTTATACTCGTACGCTAGGGGCCCCATACGAGTTAAAAAAAAAAAAATCTGGTATTGTTTTTTTTTTTTTTCCTTCTCGAATTCTAATACAAATCTGAAGATGATGTTCAGGCTCAATCAAGTGTTGCTTGTTTTGTGCTGTTGCATCACTTTTGTTCTTCGGATTTTTTTAATGAACTTTTTTTTTTTTTTTTTTTTTTGGTATAGGGGCGTACAAGACGTACATGTTCCCGTACAGACCCCATACAAATATTACCTGTACGTTTCATACGGAAAGGCCCCGTACATGTACGTTATGCAACATAGAAGTAGACCAGAACCAATTGATGCGTTCCTTTGGTTGCCTAAAAATATAAAGGCATTTTTTTCAGTGGAATAAATTCATAACCCTAAGGCTACAATGCAGTGGGCTTCGACGTCTGTGTCGAGGTGTCGTATTTTCCGCGGTAGGTGACCAGAACACAAAGTGGGTTCTTAAGGGGCAAATATTTTTTGGGGACCGGTCCTTGGCAAAATTGCGGACTACCTACAGCTAGCTCTTTTAGAACCGACACTTTTCGAAAAAGGAAGAAACAGTCGTTGGACCCTAAAAAAAAGTGAGAAGGGGAGATGTTGTTTGGAATCCCGCATGCAGACTGTTAAAGGCGAAGGTTACCAGTGGGTCAAGTCCTGCAATTTCCAAGAGAAAACTTTGGCCATTTTTTGTGCTCGGAGGAATTTGCAGAAAAATCTGAAAATTTGAGAATCTATAGATTAGGTCGTAGATCTTGTATTTTGCCTAAATTTGTCGGTTACTATGCACAAGTTTATAACGGAAAATATTTTGTTGGTTTACAGATTATTGAAGATATGGTTGGTCGTTATAGGAAAAATATCAGAAAAAAAAAAAAAAACATATTAAGACCGCAAAATAATTACCACGCCAATTTGACATAAAGAATTACGGAGCCCATTTGGCCGCATGGTAAGACCGCGAAATAATCGCCACGCGGATTCGACACATTCCCCATTCTTGCCACTCAGCTATATGTGGGCCATCATAAAAAGTACTCCAACTTCAGTGATTTTTTGCACTCATAAAAATAGGTGAAAAAATCTGAAAATCGGATTGCTCCGTCAAATTGTGTCGATCTTTCCAGGAAAAATATTAAATAAATTACAAAAAACAATTTCATCCGCGAAATAGATCTCCGTCAAATTGCAACCGTGGTCTATTTTGCAGTTGAACCCTCTCTCTCTCTCTGGCACGCGTGCGCTTAGTCTCCTTGCTTTGGCTACCTTAGGGTTGCGTTCCCCGCGCCCACGCGGTAGACAACATCCCAATGCAATGGTCCATGCAGATCCCAGTCCAGGTTCCAGTTTCAGAGGGCAACAGGCTCTCTCTAGATGGTGGGGGCGCAAAGTCTGCCCTGGTATGACAATTGAGAATTGAACCCATGACCTCCTGAACGCCACTTGCAAGTTGGCCCCTGACTCATGTATAGTTTGAACATGGACAAACAAACAACACACGAAGGAGTTACAAAAACAAACTGAAAACGCAGTGGGATCCATCTACCCCTCCCAAAGGCGCCACCAGCGTTATTTGGGTCATGGTTGGGGGAAGCAGGTCCCAAAGTAAAAGGTGTGATGTGACCGGGAAGCTGAGTGGGTTCAGGCCCGACGTCATACCCTCCCCAGCCCTCCGGTGGGCAGATTGCCACCCGATATTGTGAGAGCGCTATTGGACCAATCAAACGGCGTCTTATCCCAATCCGTCTTCAAGGGAAGGTGCAGCAGAGAGGGAGGAGAGAGCTGAGCTCTGCCCGCCACGGTACTGGCGGGAGTGACCGGCCCAGCCCACAGCCTCTGGTGCGTACTCTACTGCTTGCTGCTAGCCGGCGATTGGGCAGGTCACAGGTGGCTACCGATCGCGCAATGTATCGGCCCGTGGTGTTGTGAGTGGAGGGGGCAGGTGAGAGGAGAGGGAGGGAGGAGGGGTAGGCGTAGGGGTAGGGGGGTTGGGCCAGGCCGACGAAGCAGAGGTTCATGACCCTCTATCAGACACGACAGAATTTGTTGCACGGCGAGCCGGTAAAGAAGAAGAGGGGTCGGCGACATCATCCCGTACTAGCTGCGTGGCTGACCCCAGTTGCGGCAGTCTCAGGCGCGGACTAGACAGGCGGGCGTCGCAAACCAGTCGGAGAGAGGTGACGAGTTCGACGAACGATCCAAAGCAGCAGCCATGGCCGCCACCACCTTGGCAGCAGTCGCCGCAGCCAACTCGGCCATCCTGAGCGCGCCCATCGCGAGCTCAGCCAGGAGAGAGCGCAGCTTCTCCAGCGCTCAGGTCAACCGCGCCTTCTTTGGCAAGGGCCTCGGCTTCGTGCCGTCGTCCCAGCAGCTCAGCCTGACCCGCACCACCGACGCCTTCGTTGTCAGGGCCGCCAAGAAGGATGAGGTAAGAGTCCACTCTCCCCAAATCCTCACCTTTCTTGCCCATCATACCAAGCTAATTGCGACGTATAAAGCATGACAATAACCTTCTTCTTCCTTGTTCCTTGTTCCTTCTTCCTTCTCTTCCTCCTCCTCCTCCTCGTCGCCGTTCCCCTCGCACCACGGACGCCAAGGTGTTGTCAGGGGGGCTGAGAAGGATGCGGTAAGAGTTCGCTCTCCTCAAATCGTGACCTTTCTTGGCCATCATACCAAGCTAATCGCGACGTATAAAGGATGACAATAAATTAATAACCTTCTTCTCCTTCTCTTCCTCCTCCTCCTCCTCCTCGTCGCCGTTCTCCTTGCACCACGGACGCCTTCGTTGTCAGGGCCGCTAAGAAGGATGCGGTAAGGGTCCACACTCCCCAAAATCGTCACCTTTCTTGGCTATCATACCAAGCTAATCGCGACGTATAAAGCATGACAACAACCTTCTTCTCCTCCTCTTCCTTCTGCTCCTCCTCCTCCTCCTCCTCCTCTTCCTTCTGCTCCTCCTCTTCCTCCTCCTCCTCTTCCTCCTCCTCTTTCTACTATGATCTTCTTCTTATCCAGTCAACCGCGGGCCTTGACCGAATTTGACTGTGCTTTGAATGTTGAAAGTCGAGGGCGATGGGGTGGTCTGTCCAGGTTATGTGTATCGGAAGATAAGAATGAACGCTCGAGCATTACTCTTACGACAGGAAAAAACGAGAGGCTACGTAAAGCCATTTTGAGCAGCTCGACAAGTTCGATAACTCAACTTTCTGTCCTNTTTCAACGTCCAATTCAATTTCAATTCAACGTCAACGTTGCTAGCGGGGCTTTTTTTTTTTTTTTGGGGGGGGGGGGGGGGGGGGGGGGGGGGGGGGGGGGCGCGCGGGCCAGTTGTTGCAAGCGCATCCACCACAGCAAGCTGGCAGGCAGACTAAGTAGGTGGCTGGTTGGCTGCCTGACTCTGGCTTCCCCTTTCTGGACTCGGATAACCTTTTGGATGAGTGAACAGAAGGGGGAGCCTTAGTAAGCAGAGGGCTTACAGCACCTTTCGGGCTGTTTGCGGTCCCCAAAAATATGAACAAGAGGAAGACGAATGAAGGCAGATGGAAAATGAAAATGGAAGGAAGAAAGGAAGGAAGAAAGAGGAAGCTTGTTCTTGTGTCCTGCTATCTTTTCGCTAGTATACATACTCGCACCACTCCAATTTTCTGTTATCAATTTCAAGGCTTGTATACATACTCGCTTCCACTCCATCTCACTCCATCTCACCCCATCTCACTCCATCTCACTCCATCTCACTCCATCTCACTCTTTTGATGGGTAAATACATGGCAATCAAATCATAAGAGATGAGATCATGAAAATCATACTACAAAGTAGAGTGTAGAATTAACTCCAGAGTTTCGAAAGCATTCAAATTTCGAAGTCTTTGTTTCAAATAATCGAAATACATCAAAATTATGATGCTGGCAGTATCAAACAATAGTCTAACAAAAATAGTAACAATGATTTTTCACAAAAGTAGATCAAATTGTGTATAATTAGCTTATCAAAACAATTTTCATTTCTTCGTTAAAATAGAGTTCTTTTCCATTTTGCAATTTGTACTTGGGTGACCTAAAGATGTCATTTGGCCTGTCAGGTAAAACCCATGTTTTGGGATGACATTGAGTGGTAGTCCTGTCTATGATGATCACGTAATATCCCAAAAGATGACCCTTACCGGACAGGCCAAATGACATCTTTAGTTCACTCAAAGCACAAAATTTAACGCCGAAATGGGAAAAACTCACTTTTTGGGATGAGTGGTAGTCCTATCCATGATCATCTCTTTCCCAGAAGATGACCCTAAGCGCGTACTGAACAGGCCAAATGCCCTCTTTAGTTCAGTCAAAGAACAAAATTATGCCGAAAGGGGAAAAACAGTCAAAAACTCAATTTTTGGGATGAGTGGTAGTCCTATCTATAGGTAATCACGTAATATCCCAAATGATGACCCTTACCGGACAGGCTAAAATTTCGCTAAATGCCCTCTTCAGTTCACTCTTAACTTCTTAAATACAAATGCCGAACCAGGAAAAAGTCCGAAAAACTCAATTTTAACGAAAATGCAGTTGAAGTTGTTAAACAGATCAGCAGGCACTGCCAGGCAGTGGTTGAAGGATCATTAGTCAGCAAAATTTTAATAGAATTGTCATCAAAAGACTTTTAAACAAGCTTTCCCGGGGCGCCACGCCCGGCCCAGGGACCTCGCCCAGGGTACCCCGGGCATGAAAAAAAAACACTGAATTTTTAATTTTTTACACTGAATTTTTAATTTTTTTTTTGGCCTGCAGGGCCTTGCTGCGCTTTCCAAGTACAGCCCAAATCCGGCCTCATTTCTTTTTTTCAGGCATGTTGGTTTTCGTGTGTTTGGGGGGGGGGGGGGGGGGTTNAAAAAGGAGGAGATGACGTGAAATAAGATGGCGGGAAACGAAAGGAAGAAGAAGAAGATGGCGGGAATAATAACAATTTCCCCCCCCCTTCCTTCCCCCCAGCAAATGCATCCAGTCGTACTTGGCGGTCATATACATTCAGGAAAGTGCTAGTGTGATTATGCTGTACATGCAATTGCAACTGCATGCAGTGCATATGGTCTTTTTTTAACGATGAAAATGGTTCGAGAGTCCAGACAGTGATACTCTACGCCGTGACGTCGTTGATCATGTTGGTAAACGAGAGACGACCAAATGCAATGCATGCAGTTGCCATTGCATGGCGTGCTCAGCGTCCCGCTTTTCCCGTAGCTCACGTCTCAGCGGCCGGTCACCTCTGCCAGGCCTTTTCTTTCTTTCTTATTTTGATTATTATCAACATTAAGCAAACGATTTCCACTTTAAAAAATCTTTCTTTTTTTTTTTTCAAAAATCAATTGTTTCTTTACTCCGGAGGTTCCTCACATTCATCCCGGACTGAGCCCATTACTCTCGCTTCGCTTGCGCGTGTAACCGAAAGTTACTTCCTCACTTAAGTCCGCTTGTACAATTACTGCCTGTTCTATCCATATCTATCTATCTTTCTATCTATCTGTCTATCTATATTATTTATATATATATATCTATTGTGACGATATATATATATATATATATCGATATATAGATATATATATATCGTCACAAACAGTATATATATATATTCAAACAGAGCTGACCGTAGGCAGAGAGAGGGAGAAGAGGACAACAAACGAGGGGCTGTGACAAACTGTTTCGTCGGAGTTTCACCGAAGCCCGTTCTATATTCCGCAAACCTGGTCATGATTTGTTATATTTTGAAGTCGTTATATTGCTGGCCGCCGTGTTTGTGCTATTTATTTGAATATATTTGGCACAGACCTTCCCTCCTTGCTGCTGTGTGTGAATTGAAAATTTTGTAGCCAAACCCCAAGGAAGGGGAAACTCCGCGAGAGTCACAGAAACGAGTTCTAATTGCACTGCGGGCCAAGATACAGTTTCGAATTGCAGTTCGGGCAATGTATACAACCCAGCTTTCTGGCCAGGTTGGGTGCCCGAAGTGCAATTGCAAACTGTATTATTTTGGCCCGTAGTGCAATTAGTAGAACTCGTTTTTGTGACTCTACTACTGAAGTTACCCCAAGAGAAAAAAAGAGGAATGCATTGGAAATTTGGGCAACCTGGTCTCTGACTTACGCTATTGCTGCTGCTCCTGTTGCTTTTCTTGTTGGCTGGGTGGGTCTTGGGCTTCTTTGGTCTTGGGCTTGTTTGCTGCTCACTCCATCTCTGAACTTGGTGGCCCCATCAACGTGTCTCCCTGCGCTCGACACGTGTCTTCGATCGTCTCTCTCCTTGCCTGCCGCCTTGGGTAATGGGTAATCATGGCAGACCTCTGTGATTGCGCCCCTGAACGGGGATCCCTTCATTGGCATGCTGGAGACGCCAGTGACTTCAAGCCCTCTGGTGGGCTGGTTCCTGTCCAATCTCCCCGCGTACCAAACGTCGGTCAATCCCCTTTTGAGGGGTGTGGAGGTGGGGCTTGCCCACGGCTATCTCCTGGTTGGCCCGTTCGTGCGCCTGGGCCCTCTCCGGAACACGGATCTGGCTTTGTCATCTGGATCAGCGGCGGCAGCGGGACTGGTGGTCATTCTGTCGGTATGCCTGAGCATGTACGGAATCGTGACATTCCCAGAGGGTGCATCTAGCGGGGGGTTGAAGACGCTGACGCTCACAGGGAGGGAGAAGGAGGCGGACAAGCTCCAGAGCGCCGACGGGTGGGCAGGGTTCACCGGTGGGTTCATCTTCGGAGGCCTGTCGGGTGTCGCTTGGGCCTACTTCCTCCTCAACAACATCCAATACCCTCTGTAGAGCAGCAACATCTGGACAAAATATATGTGTATTTATGTATTTATGTAAAACATAACACTTTCACGTACTCTCACCTTCACCTCACCCCTCTCGAGGTGTTAACACTCACGCCTTCATCTTCTTTCCTCTCTCTATTCCACTTCCTTCCTCCTCTTCCTCTTTCTCTCCTTCCTCACCCTTCTTTCTCTCCAGTGCCTTCCCCTTCTCTCTCTCTCTCTCTCTCTCTCTCTCTC